ACCTCATTGATGCAACTACTGATGTCGATAATGGCCTTGATCATGACATCTCTGTATCCGAAATTCAGGACGCAATCTCAAGTATGCATTGTGGGAAAGCCCCTGGATACAGTGGCGTCCCTAGGCAATGCTTGGATATTTTGAGAGTACTTTATAACATGATTTTGTCAACTGGTGTTTACCCTTCTCAGTGGACGCTTGGTGTCATTATTCCTATCCACAAAAAAGGGGCCGAGTATTAATCCAGCGAACTTTAGGCCAATCACTTTACTTGAGGTTTCTGGTGAAATCTTTTCTAAAATCCTATGTAACAGACTCTCAAAATGGACTGATAATCAGAATATCATTATTCCCGAACAAGCAGGTTTTAGGAAAGGCTTTCAAACGGTTGATAATGTTTTTGTAATTGACACCTTCATTAGTAAGTACTTATCACTTTACAAAGGTAGACTTTATTGCGCTTTCATAGATCTGAAAGCAGCTTTCGACTCATAGACCATCCCTATTTTACAAACTGTGGACTGGTAATGTAAAGGGGAAAATGTTTAGACTTATCAAGAATATGTATGAAAATGTGAAATCATGTGTGTTGGTAAACAATGGTTGTAGTCCCTTTTTTTGATTGCCTCTTTGGTGTACGTCAGGGGTGCCAATTATCACCTCTCTTGTTTTCATTCTTTGTAAATGATATAGCAGAGTTTCTGAGCATAGATAAGCAATATTGTGTTAATCTAGACTTACTTGATCTCTTCATACTTTTATTTGCTGATGATATAATCTTATTCGATAGTACTGTTATTGGTCTACAAAAAAAGACTAGATAAACTGACGGATTACTGTAATAAGTGTCAACTAAAGGTAAATTCATCCAAGAGTAAATTTATTGTGTTTCGTAAGGCGGGTAGGCTTGAAAAGTACGAAACGTTTTCTCTTATTGGCAGCCCGCTTGATATTGTTCCCAGTTATAAATACCTTGGAGTACATCTGTCTAGCTCTGGCTCATGGTATAAATCTCAAAAGATATTGTCTCAACAGGCTTGGAAAGTAATACTTTTGTTACAATCAAATCTGTATAATTTTCATAAACTTCCCCTGAAAATGTTACTTCATATCTTTGATGTTAAAGTGCTGCCCATACTATTATATTGTTCAGAAATATGCGGATTCCATCCCTCTAAGGATATTTTGAATGTTTATGACAAATTCTGTAAACTCATATTAAAGTTAAGAAGATTTGTCCCTAATATAGTTGCGAGAGCTGAACTAAAGGTAGGTACTCATTAAAAGGTAAACCAACATTTGAAAATAATTAAGTATTGGTTACGTTTATTATCCCAGAGTGAAAACAGTATATTACATTATAGTTATGTATATCAGTATAACCGAGCTGAAAAGGGTCTGGATTGTTGGGCACTTAAAGTTAAAAACCTTTTATGTTCATATGGATTTGGTGAAATTTGGAACCGACAATCTGTTTCCTGCATTCAATTATTTCAATCAACTTTTAGAACACGGTGTATTGATATCGATAATCAGTTTCTCTTTGAATCGTTTGACAAGTTATCTTCCTTGTATTTTTACAAAACGATCAAGTTATCCAATGAATATGAAAACTATTTAAATGCTGTGAATATTGATGCATTTAGGATTACTGTTTCACAATTTCGTACATCCAGTAGTGATCTTATGATATCACAGGGTAGAAAATTAGGCATATCTAAACGTGAAAGACTTTGTCCATTCTGTATCATCCCAAATGTAGAAACAGAATGCCATGTCTGTCTAGTGTGTCCATTCTCATATGACCTTAGAAGAAATTTCTTGCCATGTTATTACTACAAATTCCCTTCAGAGTGTAAATGTAAACTTGTATTTACCACCAAAAATACTTCCATGCTTAATAACCCTGCCAAGTTTACTTTCTTTGCTCTGAAAATGAGGAGCAAGCAATTGTCCATTACATAACCTACATATTTTATAATCACATGTATATTGTACTAGATATAACTTGCAGAACTTAAACATTGCTACTCGCACTGGTGGCGCGACATCAACATCTTTGTCAAACTATAATTGTAAAATGGGCCTGTGGCCTGATTTACCGAAATAAACTACTACACGCTCTACACGCATGGACTATGTACTAAACTTACAAGAACGTTTTAGATTGACTGTTACTCTGATAACTGTTTCTGGCTCACTTACATCGCACTGTATTACACTAAAAGCCACGGTGGCCGAGTTGGTGATAATAATAAATCAAAATATTTATAATTGATTTGTATAGCCCCTATTTCCAGCCGTATGTAGCTGTTCAATGGTATTTTACACGTTAGAAGTCACTATATTACAGCTCAATCAGTAGATGATGTCAAGGGGGACCGCGATCCACAGGTCGGGAGCTGCAACTGAGAAGGCTCAATCTCCAGCCTTTGTTGATGTTGATGGAACAACCAGTTGCTCCTTCTGGGCAGAACGTAAGGTTCTAGATGGGTGGTTGACCGATAACAGGTCCTTGAAATAAGCAGGCGATTAATCAACATAGAGAGCATTGTACGTCAAGACGAGTATTTTGAAACTCACCCGATGTCTCATGGGCAACCAGTGTAAATCTCTGAGAATTGGCGTAATGTGAAAGTCCTTTATGGTGCGGGTGACAACACGAGCAGCCGTGTTCTGAACTCTCAAAAAGTGAGAGTACGCCTGATCCAAACACTAGAGAGTTACAGTAATCGAGTCTGCTGTTAGATAACGAAATTTGCGATTCAGTCTCAACTAGGTACCTTCGGAGTTTGTCAATGTTAGCAATTTGAAAGTTTGCTGCTTTGGCTGTGTTGAGTGCCTGATGTTTACCTGACATGGTTCTATCCATGACGAGGTACCAAGCATAATCAATTCTGTTTTGCCCTTGTTAACTGGCAGGTAATTAGCACACATCCAGTCATGAACGTCGCTGATGCAGTCTTGTATGCTGTGGATTCCTGTGCTAACATTCGATGGTCTAACCGCCACATACAACGCTGATCTTCGGCGTATCCATGAAAGTCCTTAGAGTGACCTTTGATGATGTTCCCCAGTGGCTGGATATAGCACGTGAAAAAAATAGGACCTAACATGGATCCTTGCGGGACACCGTGTTTAATGATTTTCGGGGCTGATGTTACACCGTCCACAAAATGAAATGTCTCGCTTGCATCCCAAGTACACTGTCGTTACAATACAATATGCATTCATCATATCACAGAAGTGAGGTTTGTAATACGTAACTATTTTACTGGGTTCATCAGTCAGTATGACTACACCTGCTGCAATTTGTATAACAATAACCCTATGTAGTGCGTATACATATATACATATATGCATAACTCATATGTATGATTCGAATATTAGTTGCTTCATTACTTTTATTCAACCAACTCTATAATCGGAAGACTCACGTAGCAGTTCAGAAAATTGCCAGAACATCGACGGGAGCAAGTTTGAACTACAAGTGAGTTTGATTGCCCGCTTCATCTCTTTTATTGATTGCCACAACTGCAAATTCGTTGGTATGAATTGATATCTCGAAATCACTAGCTGAAAATATAACGCACTGAAACCGTATTTCAGCCGAGGACTTTTATAAATGTGGAAATATTTTGCCTGAATTGAGGAAAGGGTTCATTTGACATATTGTGGTAAACATCTCACCATATGTCCATTGTACAGAGTAAGGGCATTGGTATTTTCAGGAACTTCTCTGGGGTTGATTTGTTTTTCATTTTAATACGACGTCAACACCCAATGGTTAATCTTATATCATGCGCGCATGTTTGATCATGTTTATATGCTGTTATATGTCACTGTAAGAATCCTTGTTTTGAATTGTATTACTTTGTTTCTGTTACGTAGAGCATAGCATAGACTTGTTTAGCAAAGTACAGAAACTTCTAGATGTTTTAAGATTTTAGTATTTTAGACAAGTAAATGCCTCTATTAAGTATCTTACAGTACACCATGACACGGTGTGAGAATATAATATTTTTCACTTTGGATATCCAGTCTTGGCCTATGTTGGAAGCCTGGCCACTGTGGCTGCCATGAGTACTTTGTAGCTATGACCCACTATTACGTTATATGTTGCCACTTAAAATTACCGACATTACAATTGTCCCTCAAACCTATTTGTACTGGTACAGAAGACCATGTCATTCAAGGTACATTTAATCGCACCATGAGTTTAGTGTTCACTTACATGACTAACTGCATTAAAATCGCAAACATCTGAAGGGATGGTGTAAATCCAGGTGGAGTCCATGCCGGTAGTAAAGGTACTGTAAGTCCCCATGGTGTCCAGTAATGTACCTCCAGTTGTTGGCAGTTTATATCCAATCTATATTTTGTAGTTTTGCGTGTATGATTATTGCTTTATGATAACATGCTAGTTTTACGTCTTAATAAGTGATATTCTAGTTATTTTACTGTCCTTTGTCGACAGATATATGTCTATTTCAGTTATCCCCCGCCGCGCGAAGTATAGCTCATTTCAAGGTCTCAAAGGGACTTTAACGTTTTACCCTTGTCAGCGAGATATATTCAAGAACCGTTGACTGGATTTTCTTCATATTCAGCACCGAGCTTCATCGAGGAGGTGCGCAGGGCCCAGTCGATTGTGGTGACCATTACATAATTTTCATGGTCACGGCGACTCTTTGAAGATTTCAGCATGTTAACCTGCATGTTAAGCTTGTCGGGGAGATACCACAAGAAGCATTCACAGTCTTTATTTCACATCTGACTCAAAGCTTCATCTCGGGAAGGCGCAGGGCCTAGTCGATTTTGGTGACCTTCACATAGTTTTCAAGGTCACGGCGACTCTTCGAAGATTTCAGCATGTTAACCTGCATGTTAAAATTGTCAAGAACGTTTCACTGTATTTTCTTCATAGTCTTTCAAGATTTCTCTTGAATGTTTTTTGATAAGCTGTTTCTTTATTACTAGTTTTTCATCTTTCATACACCATGACATTCATGTCAAAGTCAAAGTTAGTCTCGCAAATATTTGTGTGTTTGAACAACTGCAGAGCAAGATATCAAGAGAGGTTGACTGGTCATGTTTTTGTTGACATTTAACTTCATCTTAAACTACGACCTTCACTATATTACTTTTGAAGTTTGATTTGATAACTTGCGGCGGTTGTAACACCTCCAGGGGGATAGACTTGAGATAACACAAGGCGCAACGTCGACGGATGTTAGCTTTATTTCTTGGGTATATTTGTGAGATAAGGCGAACACTTAGTACACAAGTTACAAGTTGCAGAGTCCGGCAGAGGCTACCAGGGGAAGGCGACGAGGTGAGGCTGACACTTGGGCAGCAGATGGCTGGACTGGCTGGTCAGTTCGTCCCTTCAAGTCCCTGGTTTGCCTCTTCTGCTGGTCTGTCCGCGCCCTTCCCGCTGTCTGCCGGCTCTCCTTTACGTGCCTATTCTCCCTACTTTTATATGCACATGAATGATAAAAATTTGCTTAGCATGCAACATTTTCGACTAGTCAGCAGTTCCACTGGCATGGTCTGCCCTGGTGGCCATGTTTTGGTTAGCTGTGAGTGACACCTCGCTGACAAGTGTGCACAAACAATAGTGTTACAGCGTGGGATTATGTAACTTTAGTGACAATGCTTGGTTTGACAATATATGCGACTATCATAGTCACGATATGGCTGAAATAATGCTGATGTGACATCAAATTTAACTTACTCGCTATTTTGTACTGTCATTGTAATTATTTGCAGTGTGTGAGTTAAAATATGAAGCCACTATTTTTGCAGTAATTTGTTTTGAGTTGTAAGCCTGTGGATTTTGTACTGTCATTGTAATTATTTGCAGTGATCGAGTGTGTGAGTTAAAATATGAAGCCACTATTTTTGCATTAATTTGTTGTAAACCAGTTTTTGGGCAGTAATTAGTTGTAAACCAGGGAATACCATTGTTAACGTATTAACGTTACTTTGGTTTTGTTTGTCTCGATGGGTTTTGTTCATTTTGGTGATCGTCAGGTAACAATATATAGCTGACATTATTCTAACATTTGATCATTTTTCTCTTTCCAGGACAAGTGCGCTGCTGAGGATGAGTAAGGAGCAGATTGAAAACGTTCCTCTTCAGGTGTCCAACGTGACATCAGGTGAAGAACAAACGGAGAGAGCACAATGGTCAAACGCGTTTCAAGGTGTCATTGCTCAGCTTGGATATTCTGTGGGTCTAGCAAACTTATGGAGATTCCCTTACGTCTGTCAAAGAAACGGAGGAGGTATCGTCTTATACATATCTAATCTGTCAAACAATCCAACTGTCACATTATCAGTTCGAGTTAACTTGACCACACGGGGGTATCCAGACATCTCTACACTTTGTGTCAAAATTACAATTATCCTTCAATGATGCATTCCCTGGCTATTTGAAAATCATAAGAAAATTCAAACAGACCAAGATATTATTCATATACGTTGACTCATTCAATGCAATTGTATTTTAACTTGCCTCTTGGTTTTATGCTATATACAGCGCTGATACCCAATGCTGTACTTTTTATTGTAGTTTTGAACGTTAAGGATATTGGTGCACGTTGCTTGTTGCTTTCTACATTTAAAGCTAATACGTCAAGGTGTGCGTTTACCCAGTGCTTCCTCGCCACAAAGGGGAGGTGAGGTTGCCTAGTGGTTAAAGCGTTTGCTCGTCACGCCGAAGACTCGGGTTCGATTCCTCACATGGGCACAACGTGTTAAGCCCCTTTTCCCCCTCCGTGATATTGCTGGAATGTTGCTAAAAGTGGCGTAAAACCATACTCACTCACTCTTCATCACAAAACAAAACGAAAGCCTAGTAGTCGCGCCTAACGTTTCATAGATACTGCTCCAAACAAACTACACTGTATTATGAACTGACACTCTAGTCAACCCTCTTTATGCCACAACTACAGGTGCGTTTCTGATACCTCACATAATCTGCATCCTGGTGTTGGCTATACCGCTCTTCTTCCTGGAGATTGCTCTTGGTCAGTTCTCCCGTAAAGGTCCGATACGGGTTTGGGCAATGTGTCCGCCACTGAAAGGTAAATATGAACGGTTCTATATGTTTACACTAATGACAAGGCCCAATTGTTGTAAAATCATCCGTCACATGTCAGTAGATACTGCACAATGTACCAGTCCAAAATGAAATGTCAAAGTTGATACCTGGATGAAATCATTCTCAGAGCAATAACTTTGGTTAACACTTTGGTCAAATCAGATGTGGACCAATCGGGGTTTTTTTTCATGAAAAGAAATCCAGACAGGTAATACGCTGCATTCTTGTTTCGTTTTCAAGGTATCGGTTATGGTATACTGATAGTCAATTGTGTCATCGTCCCGTACTACAGCATGGTGTTTGCCTGGGCCCTGTATTACCTGTACAACTCCTTCTCCACCGTCCTGCCCTGGACAACTTGTGGCAATTCATGGAACACACCACAATGTGTGGCTGCTGCTGGGTCGAGACCTGCCATTAACAGTTCGACGATGAATGCTATGTTGAGTCTCGACACAACAAGAACGGCAGATTCAAATCTCTCGGGAACATTCAAAAATGCATTTGGTCACACATCAACAGAGGAGTTTTGGCAGTAAGTTCACTTCAATGGTTCTAAATTTGATCCAGTGTTATTTGCACATGGTTTTCGGTTATTCATTATTGACAATGTTATATGTTTAAGATACAAAGTCCTTGTTATTTCCTCGAGCTTGGAAGATATGGGATCCCTGCAGCCGCATCTCGTCATTTGCTGGATTCTTACCTGTGTGAGCATGTTCTTGTGTTTGATGAAAGGAGTCAAATCTCTGGGGAAGGTAATGTTGTTGTAAACACTTACTATTTAGTTATGGCTTTGGTTTAGTGTGGATCACACATGAAGTGGGTGATAAAAAACATAAAGACTGTAATCAACAAAATTGGTACTCTAAAATTTGTGATTCAAGTAAATTATGTAATTATAAAGAAATAACCTCTATTGTCAATTGAATATTATTTGTGTGCTATCCCAGAAAGAGAATACAGAAGACTTTTATGTTTATTACGTATATGTGAGCTCCCTTTAATGGTTGATATTGGTAGACTGTGTGGGATTCTCCGCTGTAATAGAGTATGTACATTTTGTGCATTAGGTTGAGTAGAATTCCTTCTAAAATGTCCATTGTATGACAATCTCAGATCAAACTATATACCAAGATATTAATGTTATTCAAACTCTTCTAGCATGTAATAAGATAAACGTTTTGTTAAATGTTGCAAAGTTTATTAAAGAAGCTATATTTCTCAGAAATTCCCATCTGTCATTATAATGACTATTTTGTATTATGTTGTACATGGGCCATTGGCCTTTATACCGAATAAGGAAATTAAATTGTTGCTCGGCGTTTGATCAACGTTACCAAATGTATCACGATTGCATTTATTATTGAACATATTTAGTTTTAATCATGAGTTAACATGAAAGAGTGGTACCACACTGTCGGCTAGTAGGAGACATGTTCTTGTTTCATACTACGAAATACTGACCACCATGTATCACAGGTGGTGTACGTGACTGCGACGATGCCGTACGTTTTGCTGACAACGCTGCTGGTCAGGGCGTGCATGATGCCAGGCGCTGCAGATGGGATTTCATTTTACCTAACTCCAGATTTCATGCGTCTTCAAAATGCTCAGGTCAGCAAACTCAAAGCACTTTGGATTGATAAAAATACATAACACACGAAAACACACTTAAATCCTCTGCAAATCTCATTCCTAGGTGTGGTTAGAAGCTCTTCTCCATGTGTTCTACTCTTCGGGACCGGCCTGGGGATCTCTGATTGTCATTGCAAGCCACAACCCCCCTGGCAACAATATTGTCAGGTAATGCATTAATGCGTGGATAGTCACTCTACTGAACCAATCCATTTATCAATATTTAGTTCAATGAATATTTTATTTTACTATTCTACTTCTTTTGTATTCTGTACGCATCTGTTGGTCATTTATTTACATGAATACAAACAAATGACATACTGCACTTTATGTCAGCAAAAAGACAGCTAAGTCAGTTTACACAGCCAATAAATAGACCCGTGAAGATCCGGGTTAGAATTGGTCTTCAGCAACATATGCTTGTCGTAAGAGCCGACTATCGGGATCGGGTGGTCAGGCTCGTTGATTTGGTTGACACATGTCACCACATCCCCATTGTGTAGATCAATGCTCATGATGTTGAACTCTGGGTTGTCCACTGCTGTTACTTTTCGGTTTGGTTTCGAACCCGGTTCTGTACGGGTTGCTGCTACTACTACTACTACTACTACTACTACTACTACTACTACTGGCACCCGTGAAGAACCACCTCCTCGTGGTCGGTGCTGGGTAACGCTAAGCGCTCTTCAACCCCCCCGTTGTGGACCCGGGGGTATATTTGGTCCACCAACCCGTTTGCCGTGGGTTGCGCCCCTGTGTCGGTGGAGGACGGGAGTCTGGTGGTTAAGGGCATTGGTTCCAAGAACAGCGTTCCTTTGCCCAACACACCACTTTGACCCTTACTTCACCCAGACGTGTGGTAGAACTGGCCCGGTTCTATCAATCAGCTGGTCACGCCAAGCCCTCTACTATAACTGTAAAATGTTGCACAAAATTTGAGTATTATTAGGTGATATTTTTAAGTCTTGGCAAATTTTTTTATCTTTGTATTTTTTAATTCCAGCTGCACAATTTCATGTATGTTTTGCCTAGAGTCGTAATCTTTTAATTTTTCTGCTGGAGTATATCATCCGGGTATCCTTGGTGCTGCAAGTCGGAGATCCGCTTGTTTTTAGCATTGTCCTTGTGATACTCCGTGGTGGGTGGGGAGCTCGGATGATGAACCATTTAACATTAACCATGGCTTTACGAAACCCCCCTTAAGAAAACGAAACGTCCACTAGACATTGTTTGTAAAGATGATGAACACAGACCGACCAAATCAATTGATTACTGGCCACGCTTTAGAGTGATCGAGACTCATGATAAGACGCCACTGAAGGTGAAACTTTTTGCGGTATCAAAGGCTATTCAAGGCATTGCAGGTGATGTCAAAAACGTTAAACGCTTGCGTTCAGGAGCTCTTCTCATTGGATGTAGTAAAAAGACAGCAAGCTGCAAACCTGATGTCAAAAGAATTGTTTGTAGGAATTCCAGTGTCATCTCAGCTCACAGAACGCTAAACACAAGCAAAGGCATAATTCGAGATCGAGATCAATTGTTTGCGGACATGACGGAATAAGATATTGTAACAGACTTGAAAGATCAAGGTGTCATTTATGTCAAAAAAGATTTACAATCCGGATAAACAAAGAAACTGTTCCAACCAACACGTATTTGTTTTCTTTTTCATCTCTAATTGCTCCGAAATCATTAAAAGCTGGCTACTGTAACATCACTGTTGATACCTATGTTCCTAACCCATTAATGTGCTTAAAGTGCCAAAACTTCGGTCATGGAGTGAACACTTGTACATTGTCTGTCACGTGCACCCATTGTGGTGAGCAGACACATACATACACCAGAAGATTGTACCAACAACTTTAAAAAATGCACTAATTGCGACCGAAGTCACTCATCTTTCTCAAAGGACAGTCAAATTTGGAAACGTAACAATTTCCGAAACTTCGTACCTTTGGGCTAGATTCCTCATCGATAAGCATCTGCTGGCAAACAATGACTCTCAAATTTACTCAAAACATTAGTTTTGCAGATGCGAAAAAAATTTGTCCAAAGATCGGACTTAACAGAAACTTATGCTTCCGTCACCAGAACATCACCTGAATCAACCCTGACCGTAGTCAAATCTTCTGCATGCTGACAAACAAACTTAACATGGGTTAATACTGACACTCCTCAGATTTTGCTGCCCGAAACATCCACTAAAACTGCTGAAGTCCTTCCAGAGGCCACATGTGTTCACGATGCACCTTGTACTACGGAGAAATCATCTCAGCCAAATGCAAAATTTACATCTCAATCAAATATGAAAGAAACTGGTAAAAACAAGACTAAATCTAGATGTAGATCTTCACAAAAGAGTCAAAGTGGCAGAGCCTCAAAGGGGTCTAATAACAAAATCCAACTTTTTAATAAGTTCGATCCTTAGTAGACATGGATGTGTCCGAAAACATCCAAACTAGGGCACAGAGCTTGTCGCCCTCAAGAAAAGTGCGGGGTAGATCCCCAATTAACCCACCAAATAGATAATGTATTCTAAAAATATAGTACAGTGGAATTGTAGAGGATTAAGGATTAATTTTAATGAATTACATTTATCAGTCCTGGACCTGGCACCATCAGCATTCTGCTGGAAACGTATCTGAAACAGACAGATACTTTTAATCTACGTCAGTTCGAAGCATATAATTCTTTCTCACCTCCGGGTGATAGGGCCACTTGCGGGTCTTCAATTCTTGTAAAGCAGAATGTAATTCACAGCCCTGTCACACTTACAACTAATCTTCAAGCCGTTGCAGTGAGACTTACTCTTCATGTTGCCTTCACAATATGCTCTCTATATATTCCGCTTTCTTCAACACTCCAGCAGTCTGATCTGCAAACTCTCTATGACCAACTTCCTAAACCTTGTATTATAATGGGTGATCCCAATGGCCATAACCCGATCTCGGGTGGTACAAGCACGAACTTTAAAGGTAAAATACTGGAAGATTTTATTTCCAATAATGACCTGTGTATATACAATGACGATTCAAGCACTTATCTGCATCCTGCAACCGGCACCTACTCTTCTCTACATTTGTCTCATGCAGACTCTAACCACCTCAATGAATTTAATTGGTCAGTCCACAATGATCTCTGTGGAAGTGACCACTTTCCAACTATCCTATCAGAAATTTATCCATCTGATTCTACATCTTATACAAGACGGAAATTTTCCAAGGCAGACTGGTCCTTATTTCAAACTTTATTCACATCTAAACTAAGATCCGAATATTTCAGTGATATAACTGATCCTATTGAGGTTTCTTCTAATGTATACCAAAGTCCTCTACAACTCCACATGTACGGAAACCATGGTTTAATACAGATTGTAGGCAAGCCAGAAAAGCGAGGAAAAGGCAGAGAACTATTTCCACCATCACCCAACTGCCCATAACTTAAATAAATTTAAAATACTCAATGCGAGAGCACGTCGTACCTTCAAACGGCAATCTTGGAGGAACTATGTCTCCAAGATTAATTCACGTACGCCAATGTCCAGAGTATGGAACATGGTTCAAAGAATTAAAGGCAAAGGTTCAAAATCTGCTGTTCACCATCTTAAAGATGGCGATACTTTAATTACTGACAAGTCTAAAATTGCAGATAAAATTGGCGAAACTCTTGCCAAAAATTCTTCATTGGCAAATGAACAGGAAAAAACAAAGTTAATTTTCAATCAATTTTGTGAAGACTATAATGAACTGTTTTCATTACAAGAGCTATATACAGCTCTTAAGCAAGCTCATGACACTGCAGCGGGTGATGACAATATTCATTATCAGCTACTGAAACACTTACCTGAACCATGTCTGGTCACACTTTAGATATATTTGACAAAATATGGACTTCCGGAATTTTCCTCCCTCGTGGCGTAATGCCATTGTAGTCCCAATACCTAAACCTGGCAAGGATCATACTGAACCGTCGAATTACTGACCAATATCTCTAACTAGCTGTCTCTGTAAAAACCATGGAACGTATGATGAATAATAGATTAAGTTAGTATCTTGAAACCAATAACCTTATAACAAATATTAAATGTGGTTTCAGGAAAAATCGTAGTAACATTGATCATTTGGTACGTTTAGAATCCTTTGTTAAGAATGCTATAGTGAATAAACAACATGCTGTATCAATTTTCTTTGATCTTGAGAAAGCTTACGATACGACCTGGAAGCATGGCATTTTGAAGGATTTACATGATTTTGGTTTCAGAGGCCGTTTGCCTCATTTTATATCACAGAGAGGCAATTTCAAGTCCGAGTGGGTTCCACCTGCCTCATCATTACACTCATTTTGTCAAACTATTTAGTATCACGATCAACAGTTTATCCAAGGTTTTAAACGATTCAATCGATGGATCACTTTTGTGGATGATTTGAATATTTCTTCTCGTGGTAAAATATGCATACTATTGAACGGCAACTGCAGATGTGTTTAAAAGCAATCCCAAAAAGGTAAATGGCCAAGTTCTTGGGTGGAAATTTCGGCTCTTAAATTTTCCGCCTAGTCTAAAACTAATTGTCTAAATTTTGTGAAAATATAAGCAAGCTACCCTCCTCCACCTATATCGATCATTGGTCCGCTGGAAAAACTTGATTTTGGCTCCATCGTATATGGTGGAGCCTGCAAGAGCAACCTAAAAGTACTTTATTCTGTCCACCACCAAGGCCTAAGACTTTGTCTTGGGTCTTCTAGAACTCCTATTGATAGTCTCTTTGTTGAGGCTGATGAGCCATCCCTTAACCAACGTCGTATCAAATTATTTTTACAGTATATAACAAAACTCTATTCTAACGAGTCTAATCCTGCATTTAACTGTGTTTTAAAATCCTCTTTGTGAGGATTTATACAACAAAAAGCCTTCTCTCGTTCCGCCTCTTGGGCTAAGAATTAAACCATTCATTTCTGCTTCCTGCATTGAGCTGGAAAATATATCTCCTTCCCGTCTTCTTTCTTCTCCTCCTTTCCAACTGGTGAGGCCTGAACTTGACCTAATTCTGACAAAGTTTAAGAAATCTGAAACTAATGAATTACAATAGAAACAAGAATATAATCAATTAAAAAATAAATATAATACATACAATTCCTTATTTACAGATGGGTCCAAGGATGGTGGCATGTGCCACTGTTATTGGATACCGAACAATATCTTCTCGACTACCAAATAACAGCTCTATTTTCACAGCAGAAGCTAACGCCATATTAACAGCTCTTAAATATATTAATAAACACCGTAAATATAAACAATACATAATGTTTTCCTATTCTCTTTCGTGTCTTCAGGCTATCCACTTTTATTAGAAATTATTGAATTGTATAATGAGCTTGCTACTGGCCAATGCGACATCGTCTTCTGTTGGTTACCCAGCCACGTTGGCATTTCTGGGAATAATACCTAAACCTGGCAAGGATCATACTGAACCGTCGAATTACTGACCAATATCTCTAACTAGCTGTCTCTGTAAAAACCATGGAACGTATGATGAATAATAGATTAAGTTAGTATCTTGAAACCAATAACCTTATAACAAATATTAAATGTGGTTTCAGGAAAAATCGTAGTAACATTGATCATTTGGTACGCTTAGAATCCTTTGTTACGAATGCTATAGTGAATAAACAACATGCTGTATCAATTTTCTTTGATCTTGAGAAAGCTTACGATACGACCTGGAAGCATGGCATTTTGAAGGATTTACATGATTTTGGTTTGAGAGGCCGTTTGCCTCATTTTACACTATTTTGTTACACTATTTAGTATCAAGATCAACAGTTTATCCAAGGTTTCAAACGATTCAATCGATGGATCACTTTTTGTGGATGATTTGAATATTTCTTGTCGTGGTAAAAATATGCATACTATTGAACGGCAATTGCAGATGTGTTAAAATAAAATAAATAAATGTTGTCTTGAAAACGGCTTTAAATTTTCCAAGTCTAAAACTAATTGTCTACAATTTTGTAGAAAATATAAGCCGGATCAAGCTACCCTCCTCCACCTATATCGATCATTGGTCCGCTCGAAACTTGATTTTGGCTCCATCGTATATGGTAGAGCCTGCCAAAGCAACCTAAAACTATTTGATTCTGTCCACCACCAAGGCCTAAGACTTTGTCTTCGGTCTTTTAGAACAACTCCTATTGATAGTCTCTATGTTGAGGCTGATGAGCCATCCCTTAACCAACGTCGTATCAAAATATTTTTACAGTATATAACAAAGCTCTATTCTAACGAGTGTAATCCTGCATTTAACTGTGTTTTCAGTCCTCTTTATGAGGATTTATACATCAAAAAGCCTTCTCTTGTTCCGCCTCTTGGGCTAAGAAATAAACCATTCATTTCTCCTGCCGGCATTGAGCTGGAAAATATATCTCCTTCCCGTCTTCTATCTTCTCCTCCTTGGCAACTGGTGAGGCCTGAAGTTGACCTAATTCTGACAAAGCTTCAGAAATCTGAAACTAATGAATTACAATATAAACAAGAATATAATCAATTAAAAAATAAATATAATACATATAAATCCTTATTTACAAATGGGTCCAAGGATGGTGGCACGGTGGTATGTGCCACTGTCATTGGATCCAGAACAATATCTTCTCGACTACCAAACAACAGCTCTATTTTCACAGCAGAGGCTTATGCAATATTAACAGCTCCTAAATATATTAATAAACACCGTAAATATAAACAATACATAATCTTTTCCTATTCTCTTTCTTGTCTTCAGGCTATTAAAAGTCTTTCTTGTAAACATCCACTTTTATTACAAATTATTGAATTGTATAATGAGCTTGCTACTGGCCAATGCGACACCGTCTTTTGTTGGTTACTCAGCCACGTTGGCAATTCTGGCAAAACAATGGCTGATCTTGCTGCCAAAGAAGCACTCAATAAATCTGTGACACCACTTCTTATTCCATACTCTGATTACAAAGCTAGCGTTAGAACATACATCCGTGATCTGATGCAAAAGAAGTGGGACACCCAAGTAGGTATTAACAAATTACATGAAATAAAACCCTATATCGGTTACACTTACTTGGGTTGTCAGTCTAGATTTGAAGAGGTCATCATATCACGATGTCGTATTGGCCACACAAGATTTACTCATGCATACCTATTGAAAGGTGAGGATCATCCGTTTTGTATCCCTAGAGAACCACGGTCAAACATGTCCTGCTTGACTGTGTTGACTTCTCCATCATAAGGGATAAATATTTCAATATCAAAACAGTAAAGGACCTTTTTAATACAGTCAATTATAATTTAATCATTGATTTTTTAAAAGAGATATATTTGTTAAATGAATTTTGATATATGTTTTGTAAATAGAGAAAGTTTTATAATTGGTAGTTCTGATTATTTTTCGTTTTCAGAGATGCTGTTGTGGTTACCTTATTAGGCGAGTTGACAAGCGTTTATGCCGGTTTTATTGTGTTCGCAACGGTCGGTTTTCTGGCTCACACTCTTGAGGCGCCAGTAGCTGACGTCATCACTTCAGGTGCGTAACATGCATGTTTATGAAACATTAAAAATGTAGCTCATACTTGCCATCATAAATACTAAAACACAATGACTAACTCAGAACATATTATTGTGTGTTTGGTCCATCTTACTTTTAACGAGAATAGAATTCACGTTATGAGATTGAATGGTTCTATCATCTTATGCCCAAATAACCAGAACAATTGTGCAGGTGCATGTCTGTTAAATTATGCAAAGGCATATTGAGTTGGCCCTATTTCTACATCGTAATCATGCTCAGAATTCCATGTTAGCACTGGTCTAGCACCACCTAATGGTTGAATGAGGCAAAACAATAATGGGACCGGTTGATGAATGTCTGTACGGGAAAAAACTGTTCGCTTCAAGTTAGTTTCAAGAAGCACTGAAACATTTTACCTCCCATAATATCCAAGACATTTTCGTTTGTTTACTACCCGTGAAGGTCCGGGTTAGACTGAACCTTCAGTAACCCATGCATGTCGTAAGAGGCGACTAACGGGATCGTGTGGTCAGGCTCGCTGGCTTGGTTGATTCATGTCATCGGTTCCCAGTTGCGCAGATCGATGGTCATGCTGTCGATCACTTGATTGTCTGGTCCAGACTCGATTATTTACAGACCGCCGCCATATAGCTGGAATATTGCTGAATGCGGCGTAAACCTAACCTCAGTCAGTCAGTCGTTTGTTTACTAGGCTATAGCAGACCATTGATGCAATGATGTTTCATGAAACCATAACGATGCTTGAGTAAAAGAAACCAATGACGTGTGACTAGTCATAAAGACGAGATTGCAAATATAATTCTTTATATTTGTATTTTTTACGCCATACCAATGCATATAAAGTAAGGCTAGTTGCACCCGAACGGTGCAAAAAACTAAGTCAGTTTATCTCATCTTGTTGCCAATGTAATGAAATACACACTTCAAAGAAAGAAACGCATAAGCCATTTTTGGAATTTGTGTTTATTGCGTTAGTTTAAGAGCCTCATTTTCATGTATTTTCAAAGGTAAAAATCAGTTCGCCAACAGAACACACAACAGACTTTATTGTTGTATTTCTGTTTACTTGAGTCCACAACATGGCGCCAAAGTCAGTACTTTGTATGGCCAACATTGGCAGCAATTACTGCTCGGCACCGTCTCGGCACAGGGGGCATAAGCCGACGAAATCGCACGTGCGGACATCTTCCTGCAATGCGATGGCCAGTTCTGTTAGTGTCTGAGGCATGTTTTGACGTGTACGTACACGTCAATCAAGTTCATCCCATAGGTGTTTTATCAGGTTTAGATCTGGTGATCGGGAAGGCAATGGTAAGACACTGACGTTACAATTGGCAAGGCAGCTGACCGTGACGCGTTCTGTATGTGAAGTAGCGTTGTCATGATAGTAAAACTCCCTCTGTCGGTACATAATCGGAAGCATGTGACGTGCCAGGACTTCGTTGATGTAACGATTTGCTGCCAAATTCACCAGAACTATCACTAAATCAGATCTTTGTGCGCTGGATATCGCAAGCACACCATGACACTGCCTTCACCGAAACTGTGGATCTGTCGAATGCAATTAGGGGCCAAACGTTCATTTCTCTCACAGTAAACACGCTGTTTTCCATCTCGCTGGTGAAGGAGAAATCATGACTCTACGACACCGTAGCAAGTTGGAAGTTTCTCAAAACAGAGGAGACAACTGGCCTTCTTGGTCGAATCCCCACTTCAAGCAATCGATTCCTGACAGTTTGATCCTAAGGGATGCGTTGTGCTGTCTCAAGACAGTGGCAAGACGATGATGCAAGTGAGCAGCCCAGATGTAGCGGTCCTGGGCTCGGGTGGTAATTCTTAGACGGACGTTTCTCGGGCGGAATTGGTCTGCAGGAAACGATCCCAAAGGGGAGGTAAAGTGCTCTGATGAACGTTGAAATGTCTGGCAACTGAAGACTCCCCAGCTTCAAGGCGGCCTATGGCGATGTTTCGATTTGCGGCTTCAGTCGTGGCATGATGATTTCCTCTTTTCCAGGCCAATGAAAAAGTTGAACAGAACATTTGCCTTTTAATAGCGATTTTAATAGCACGTGCATTTCGCTTTGCATGTCTTCTTGATGACGTTTTGGCGAAACGCTTCTGAAAGAAGGGGTAAAAAATAAAAATAGGCGCGTTTTGGCATTGAAGCTGTTTACATTCAAACAAAGATGGCTTTTTGGAAAGAAATAGTATATTTCCAATGTTTTTTGCCGCAGCTACATGAGTCCACGCTTCTCAAAATCACCTGTGCGTTTCTTATTTTGAAGCGTGTATGTTTGTACCATTGATATTTTCATATTAATTTTATCATACTGACTATGGGGGCGGTGGGGTAGCCTATTGGTTAAAGCGTTGGCTCGTCACGTCGAAGACCCGGGTTCGATTCCCCACATGGGCACAATGTGTTAAGCCCATTTTCTGGTGTCCCCCGCCGTGATATTGCTGGAATATTGCTAAAAGCGGCGTAAAACTAAACTCAGTCAGTCATACTGACTATGTTTATACCATTGTTGATATGAGAACATTTGATTCATGAAACTACTTTGCAGGTCCAGGCATTGCATTTGTTGTCTACCCCGAGGCAGTTTCACTTCTCCTGTTCCTCAGCTGTGGTCGGTGCTATTCTTCTTAGTAGTTCTGATGATGGGCTTCGACACCATGGTATAACATTAGACTAACCTGTTACTGAATCACGTAGACCAACTTTGGTTGCTGGTGGTGTGTAAATAATTTCACAACAGCATAGAATATAGTTTGATGAATATGTTTACGAGAATGGTTCAGTACATCATATGTATATATTTCTAAATGTAATTACTTGAGATATGTTGACTCCTCGCAGTCCTTCGTGACAGACGTACATGTCATACGTTCGTCCATTTGACCTTAAGTAACTGAATGACCCACTGCCTCATGCGCGTCTTTGCGACTTTTGGTATGTTAATATTTAGCGTCACGTCGTCAATACTTCAGCCATATCAGTCAATTTATTAGGTAAAGATAAATACATTTTGAAGATTAAACCTGTCGTCGATGGACAGCAAAACTACCGTATTACGAATATGATTGTAAAACTAGTTTATTGTTATAAAAAGATATCATTTTAGAGAACAATACAATTTAAAAAACGGGTCGTAGATCGCCAGCAGCTGAAGGAAGATCACCATACTGGTGACCATGGGGTTATATTCCGATGTTAAGGGAAACTGACATTTAAAGAATTCATGTGGCATGTCTACAATGAAACAGCTAACACTTTTCTCAACATCCTCACTCATCATTTAAATCAAAATGGAACAGCACCGGTTTCGCGCCAGTCCTTGCTTTCCACCTGCCCTCTGTTTTGTACTACAATGAGACTATATTCTTTAGATGAACCCCTTATCTCCACAATAAACGACCGTAGTAGTCAAGTCAGGCCTCATGGCTTTTGTTAGGAACTGACACGACTGCACCCAGCTTGAGTTTCAACAAACAGCATTCAGTGTTGAAAATACAATCTGAACAACTTCAATCTGTCAGGTGAAGTAGAAACATCACATGTTGCAAACCAATTTGGTAAATCACGCCAACCGAAATGATTGTGATTTGCCGCCCATTACTTATTACTCCCCTATACTTTTTATACCGTACATATATTCCATTTCAATGTCAAATGTTCTCATTTCACTTTTTATTGTATAAATAGTTTTCGTCACGATATGGCTGAAATATTGCCGATGTGACGGTAAATAATAACTCACTCACTCCCCTATACTTTCCAAAAACAATAAGTCAAATAGGCCAGAACATAGAATGTCAGTTCAAATTTATACCCATAACAGATATTACTTCAATAATCAATAAAAAATATGTGTACTTTGCACAGCCTTCAGACGAGCGGGACATCGACACCAAAGGCAATTTATAAATTGCTATTATTGTTTGTATGCTAACGCTCCTCTTCAAGCAACGTATCTATATACGAACAGTTTGGAGCTATCGAGGCAGCAACTGGGTGTGTAGAGGATATTCTACCAAAACGATTTCACAAGAAACAACTTCCAACTGTCATAGCTGCTGTGTTTATGGGTGCAGTTTTCCTCTCTGGACTCATCTTCACCACCAATGTGAGCATCACGTTTAACAATTCATAATAGTTGAAAGATTCATATGACAGATTTATGAAAACGAACACTGTTATCCAACACTTGTGCTTCCTTCGGATGTTTGGACAGATAATGCTTTGGTAAACAACATCTGCAAACTTTGAAACCGAGATAATGCAAGGTTTTCACGTTTATAGATACACACTGTCAGTCTGTAGTGTAGATCGTGAACAACATTATTTCATACAGATATTCACTGTTATGCACTGCAGTGTAGTTCTATTTTGATCGCCAACTCTTGTACATTTCAGGCCGGGGTGTACATGTTCCAGTTAATAGACTGGTATGTGGGTGCGGTGGTATGCTTAGTGGTCGGCGTCTTGGAATGTCTGGTTGTTGGATGGTTGTATGGTTCGTGGAACATATTCCTTTTGTATATATATTTGGCAAGCAAACAGCCAGCATGTGCTACGTATTGTCCAGACTATTCAGAACGCTCCTTTTTAACTATAGTGAGTTCCCTTTGTTTGATAGTATTCACATTAGACTAATGAAAAAGGATGGAGAGTCGGGCAACCACTTAACAAGCATGAGTTATACCCCATAGAAAGAACAATATACCGTCATGTGTAAAAAAATTCATGAATACAGATTCTGAGCATGTATGACAAGCTATGTAACCCACCTTTAGCATTTACGGAGGCCTTGCAATATCCTATTAAAAGACAATAAAATGTGTAAAAGTTCACATGAACATAGTTTCTGGGCATGTTCAAGAACCAATGTAACCACCTTGAGCATTAACGCAGGTCATGCAATCTCAAGAAGGACAAAAATTAGCTCGATTTAACATTGTTAAAGGATTTGAAGACGTCCCAAGCATTCTTCCAACGGATTTTAGAAACGTTTGGTTAGTCCCAGTTCAGATAATACTGGAGGTCAATGTCACTCCAATATCATTTGTTGTTTAAATTCCCACTTATCTCCATCACAGAATACCTTCCTGTAACCGATATGTTTACTTTTATCAAAACACCACCTCCCGAAATAGCAACCCTGAAAAGGTGACGTGACGTTAAGTTTACATCGAAGCCTGTGGACATAAGCCCTGTATAGATGTTATTTACAACATTATATAGATATTGCTAATTGTACTAACCTTGCAAGTCTGAAAATTAACATAGAATAGGTTTTGTTCATTCAGCTACTACATTTGCTTAGAATCAGATATTTTGGAACGCAAATTTAGTTATGTGTATATGTGCATGCAATTGTAAGATAAGTGTCCAACATCTGTTGTTGTTTTTTGTTCTTCACAAGGTGTGGAACGTTTCTCTGTTGACGTTGAGGCTATGATAGGAAAGCGGCTTCCAGTTGTCTACAAGCTGATGTGCTTCATCGTTGTTCCTGCCTTGCTGCTGGTGTGTAATACATTTTTTCTTCAATACAGACTCGTACAGAGATTCAGATTGATAAAAAAGAGTATCAGATTCTCTGTTACTCCTTCGAGTCAGTTTAACGAACATGAGCAGACACAGAAACAATATTTTTACGGATGTTAACAAATATTGTTTGGACGTTAGGCAAAGAAAGGTCGTTATTGCTCACTATAAAAAAAAACTTAAGCATCGGAAAGTATCAAGCGAATTTCAAAACAAGAAAAGAAAAAAATATCTATTCCCACATGATCATGATCGATGTGTGGCCCTTTAGCGATGGGTAATTCCCAACATGTTTACAACGTGCTTGTTATTTTAATTGTTGTTAATGATATACTATTCACTAAGAATTTAAGAACTATGTGTGTATTCATAATGGATCACTGTATATATATAGGAATCAGGGACTATTTTAACATTCACACCGTTTGCTATATACAGGCATCTATGGTGCTAACCATCGTAGCCTACAAGCCACCAACATATGCAGACTATGAGTACCCACCAATCGCCGTCACCATTGGTTGGTGCATTGCTGTACTGCCAGTAGTTCCTATCCCTGTTACTATGGTGATACATATCCTGATGCAGAGAGGCTCCTTTGTTGAGGTTCGTTTTAGACCTAAAAAAGTACTGTCTAAAGCTGATATAACAGATACATTCTACTGAAGTCCCTCTCACTGAAGTCTCCCCTATTCAATTCTATATAATTAAAATGAGGTGAATTGATTTTCAAAACAGAACCTTCAAGCATTGCCGAGCTAAAATGATAAAATAATGATAAATAAATGTATAAAATGCGTTAATCTTTACAGCGCGTGAAGACAGCCATGACACCAAACCCTGAGTGGCAAAGATGTAGGCAGCGGTATGGCATTACAGAGGACGCAGATGTGTCTTACAACTTGAAGGAAAACCTGCTGCATATTTTCAATCGATAGCAGGCGGTCTGTGAGTGAGTGAGTAAGTAAGAATTGCTTTAAGCCGCTTCAAAAGTATTGCAGCTATTTGCGGATTAAAAATCAAATATTTCCTTTAGAAACGAATATATAGTAAAAGCAATGACGACGATCACCTTTGAAGTCCATTTTCACAGTAAACAGTAAACAAATGACATTCAAAATTTAAAACTTATATCGTGTACAAATTAATTCAATTATGCTAAAAGTAAATGGTTAGAAACAGTACTGAACAGTTCAGCAATTGTTTGATTACTATAAGAAAACTGTTGAATGAGCGAAAAAAGGTGCTTTAATTCAGGCAATTTAAGTTCAGCAATTGCAACCCAAGTTATATTTGCATCTGTTATATAAATAGAGGATACTAAACGGCCTTCCGTATAATACCATTTGATACTAAATCTTTCACGAGATTAATAAAAATGTTTTTTCACAGAAGCGAGTTTATTACTCTCCAATATTAATTGAAAGAAACTGCCTACAATGTGATGACTCCTTCAACTTTCCGCAAGTCAAGCTAGGTCTAATACCACTGTGAAAGATTAGCATTGTGGCGTCATAACTGTCATACGTCTAGCGGTATTACACTTTAGTAATATTGCCGTAAAAATAGTACACTGCAGTATAATATAGGTTGTTCACTGGTCTCGAGGGGGGCATGGGCTGATGTACCCTCGATGTTTATTTATGTTCAACCCGTGGGCCCCGAGGGGCCAGTGAACAACGTATTTATCTTACCGAACACCTCAATGGTAATTTTGAACTGTTGGATGCACGGGTATCGGATCATAGTATGGAGTACAAGACGACAAGAAAAACGAATTTAGAGTTATCTCCCTTAAATCGATTTGCATTCGCATCATACGTGATTCAATGTTATTCGAGATAAAGGATTACTACCACGAAGTACCAAGTGAGTTTGGCATTCCCAGCGGGGTACATAAAACATGTTACTCGCTTGTAAGCGGGGTACATTGAAAATAATAGAAGAGCGCTCAGCCAATCAGAAAACGACATTTATGTGTCAGGCAAGATAATGCTGAATACAGACTCAAAGTGGAGCAAGTAAGTATTGTTTAAGGTAGCATCACCAATGTTGCAGCCATTCGCGGCACTAAAATGTCAGTCAAATATCACATTCAAGGGAAACCAACTGATCTCTGATATAAATATCTATATTTTTTCATACAGATTGAGTTGCTTTAAATATGCTAAAATAAAGTTGATAGAAACATTTCTAAAAAGTTCACATAAAGTAGAAACATCATCATAAAAACGTTTTCTGATTTTGGGGAAAAAAACACGTTCTAGCATGATGTGCTTGATAGTAATGGGTGAGTGAGTGAGTTAACATTTAACGTCACATCGGCAATATTAAGCCATATCGTGACGAGAACAGTTAATATCAATATTCAAATCAATGAATCTGTAACATAAAAAACCTGTCATTGAAGGACAGTAAAACGACTAGCTCTTAATTTAAAACTAGTATGCTATCATAAAAATATATTACGAGCTATAACGGTACAATACAAGAACGGGCTATAGATCAACAGCAACTGACTGATCAAAGGTAGATCACCAAACTAAGGACCAAAGGGACTTACAGTACCTTTGCTACCTACATGGGGTGAGTAAGTGAGTTAAACTTTCACGTAACATCGGCAATATTTCAGCCATAAAGTGACGGGAATATTGGGCATACCACAAGAAAAAAATGGTGATTTCCAAAAATTTCCAATTTGGAAATATCATATTTCCAAAAATTTCAAAAATTGGAAACATGATGTTTCCAAGGGTTGGACATTTTTGGAAATTTAGGAAGGATTTTACCGCTACTTCTTTCAGTTTCTCCTTTTCCCAAGGATCCCCGTCAGTGTATAGACTGTGTATTCGTCCTCCTAGGAGTGTATTCATCCTCCTATGCGATCAGCTAAGAACCAATTCTATATGGTATAACCAGGGAGACTATAAGACGTAGTAGATTATCCCTGGTATAACTTCACTCGTCTGCATCCTTGTTGTTCTAGGTGTTAAAAATTGATATTGACTGTCATATTTGCCCTGATATGGCTAGCATTTTCCAAAATACCGGTTTAAGTGTATGTTTTTTATTATTATCCACAGAAGCGCAAATAGTTTTGACCTGTCACGGTTTGCATAAACATAAATTACATAGACCTACGTTACATCATTGATTAAATAAAAGTTTACCGGACCCACTGAATAACTGGACAGGGTTTATTACATGTCATAAAAGTGAACCCTTGCCAGGGAATAATAGGTTTATTTTAGTAGAATACATTCTTTAATGGTACCCTCTAAATAACACCTGTCACAAGGGATGGACCGTTTGGGTGGTTTATCATTGCGAAATCAACAGTCAAGACTGTTGTTTTAAGACTGTAGGCGAATGGAGAGCAACCCATTTGGGTTTGTGGTCAGAGACGGTGTTATGCAGTTGGTGTATTCACGAAATATCATGAACTTGATAATAGATAATTGGTTATATTGTCCACACACGGGCGGACTGAGGCAAAAAGAACCCAAATGAATTCCTTCTTAAAATCTTTATAGTGTAACTATTAATTTGGTCATATACAATAAAAGGTGACTAAATGTTTAATTTTAGATAACGTTAAATAATTTCTAGAGTTCATATCACAGATGATTCCAGAGACAAATAGTCTATGAGATTCTAGTTTATGAAAAGCATTAAATTCCAAACAAGCCAATCTGTTCTCTAATGCTCAGGAATTATTACCACTTACATGAAAATAGTTTGAGATGTCGACGATAGTTTGAGATGCCGACCTTTCAATTTTTATAAGGCTCAGGACGTTGACAAGGGGTAGGCTTTGAAGTTTGTGTGTTATTTTAGCACATGGCTAATCTCATGTGACGTGTTATTATAAGCTGGTGGTTGACGGAAGTGAACACATCGCACACGGAAGTCGACGGTGTAAACACATGATTAAAACAATCATATGATGAACACATTTAACAAGGCACTGATCCAGAGCAATTTCCGCGCACTGGTTGTTGCTTTTGTTATTGTTTTTCTCCCCTGAGCACCCGGATGATATCCCAGTATTTCCAATGGGTTCGTGACCTTTGCTGCGCCACCCGCATGCGCAATTGATCGTATAGGTATAGATTGATCAACAAAATGAAATCTTTTTTACTCGATAATATTTCCATCTTCATTTTTATTATAACAAATGAAAACAATTTGAAGTTTAATCATCTGCCAGTGGTAAAACATCATGACTGAAAAATAAGGAAGTCAATGTATGTCTTTATATTTTGTCTTATAATCCTAATTATTTTATTGCCATATTTGTATGCATTTTGAAACTTAATAAAAAGCGTACGATCTACTTATACTTATAGCGTATTTATAACATGACTGTAATATCTAGACATATTATAGAATGCCAACATGAATCATATCTCCCACACGCCCTCGGTATGACCTAGTGTATGTTGTCTGTCGCATTACGCTACACGGCGAAAACAAATTATTCTGTTGAATTCTACCACAAATGAATAAAAACAAAATGCAAATATTAGAAATAAAACAGACTAAAGTCTGCAACAATGTCAGGTTATTACCTTGTTCGAGTAATGTATCCATCAATATCCACATAGGTTTAGTCCCGATTTTGACAGCCTCAAATTTGACAGTGAAATTTCTCACTTCTGTAATTTATCTAGCCCGTTATCCCAATTTTGACAATGAACTTTGGTACCCTTGTCAGCTCTTCTCGTGCCCGTTTTTTTACATAACTGGTAAGGATATAGGAACCAATAGAGCTTTGGTCTGGATGTGTATGCTGTTTGTCCCCTCTTCTGACAACAGTCCCATCTGCTGTTGTAGTGACTGAGGCTGTTTTCAGGCACTGACATCTCCATATAATGGTACCATTCCTGTTGGCAGTTCGTCTCAGGTACCTATATCCATCCAGCAACAATTCTCCACCTGCTCTCCTACCATCTCACTTTGTACCTTTCTCAGCCATGATGAAATATGATAAGGAAATGTGATGTATATGTGGGCATATATACTTTGCAAGTAATTGGTAAAGCTACTTCTCCCATCCTGCTCATGACGTAACCTTTTTTAAATATTGCATTCATACATCTCAACGGATAATGCTGCTTCTCGCATCCTTTTCCCTCAGTTGATTGTGATATTAGTGTTCAAGAATGTTACTTGTTCTGTACTTCTCTCGGGTGATTGCATTTACTAGTACATAACTACCCTTAATTGGTGCAGCTAGTTATCCCAGGTTTGAGAGCGAAACTTCGCGAAACTTTCTTTAAAAAGGTAATTTAATTAGCCAATAATGAGCAATCAATCCACTTGTGTTTTTCTTGGTCATCTCCTCCCCCACAATCCCCACCCGTACCATTGTCTTGATAATTAGCATGGTCTGGTGATCCTCTTGCGCCTTAAAGGTCATATGCAACCAAAAAATCAAACATAATTAAAACACAATTATCACTTATTCATGACATATAATATACATTGCTGATTATGAAAAAAAGATATAAACAAAAT